TGGTTAAGATGTTAAATTTAGGTTATGTGGGTTTTTTTTGTCCCAGTTAAAAAATGTTAGAAAAATACAGTCTGACTTTATAGAAATGAAAATTTTGAATGAGAATATTTCTAACTACAGGTTTTTGGTCCTTAGTTGTATTGTTACTCTGACGTGTACACTCTTTTATAGTGTATGTAAATGTGCACATTTTACGGATAATTTTCTTTTTGTTTGTTTGTTTGTTTTTTTGACACAGAGCCTTGTTCTGTTGTGCAGGCTGCTGGAGTACTATGGCATGATCTCAGCTCACTGCAGCCTCTGTCCCCTGGGTTCAAGCAATTCTCCTGCCTCAGCCTCCTAGTAGCTGGGATTACAGGCATGCACCACCACGCCCAGCTAATTTTTATATTTTTAGTAGAGATGGGGTTTCACCATGTTGATCAGGCTGTTCTTGAACTCCTGACCTCATGATCCACCCACCTCGGCCTCCCAAAGTGCTGGGGTTACAGGCGTGAGCCACTGTGCCTGGCCTTGATTATTTTCTTTTGCTAAAAATATCCTTGTTTATATTTGCAAACGTTTGTTCTATATGCTCAAAGGAAGATTTGTGGATTGCTAATAAATGTAACCAGCAATACTAAAAAAAAAAAAGTTCTTCCTCCAGATCATCAAATGAATAACAATTGCTTTTCTTTTAGTACAAGGTATTGCCTACATCCTAAGTGAGAAAAGTAAGCATGAGGGGCCCCTGTAGTTTCACAGACCACTCATAGGTGTTCTAAAGCTAAATAACCTTTCCAAAGACATGGCATGAGGTGGTCCAGGACCTGTGCCCAGTGTCTCCTACAGGCAGTACCAGCTATTGCTAGCGGGGACAAAAAATATTTGGACTCTGATGTTTGGGGGAGTTTGGGAGAAGGATAGGTTAAAAGAGTGAGTCAGGATCTGGATAGATAAAGAAACAGAGAGAGTGGTCCAAACATAGAGGGACAGTTAACAGAATCATGAGATGGACATGAGTGAACTGTTTTTTAGTGGAGTGCTCTAAAACAGATGGGAGATCAACAGGGAACAGCAGGTAGCCCCTGAGTTGTAAAAGTCCTCAGGAAGTTTGGGCTTTATTTGGGAAACATTCGTTTTGGGGGTAAGAAGTAATATGCTAAATATTGCAATAACTATATCTGTTTGCTTACTCTTCTCCCTTCCTCTTTCTTCATTCATTCAACAAATATTTTTTGACCACCTCCTTTGTGCAAATCATTGATTCAAGAAAGTTAACCTGACCATAAAGGGCAGACAACAGGCAAAGGCAGGTATGAGGCAGAAAGCTAAGGAAGGTTATTGCAGTGAACCAGGGTTGTGGTTGTGTTATTGGCATTGATAGATAGCTAATGGTTTTTTTTTTGGACACTTACTATATATATTCCAGTGTTAAATGCTTATATATATTATGTATTAGTCTCATAATGCTAGGATGTAGTTTTTTTTGAGACAGAGTCTTGCCCTGTCACCAGGCCCCAGGCTGGAGTACAGTGGCGCGATCTCGGCTCAATGCAACATCTGCCTCCTGGGTTCAAGCAATTCTCCTGTCTCAGCCTCCTGAGTAGCTGTGACTAAAGGTACACACTACCACGCCCAGCTATTTTTGTATTTTTTTTTTTTTTAGTAGAGATGAGGCTTCACCATGTTGGCCAGGATGGTCTTTTTTTTTTTTTTTTTTTTGAGATGTAGTTTCACTCTTGTTACCAAGGCTGGAGTGCAATGGCGTGATCTCGGCTGACTGCAGCCTCCGCCTCCCGGTTCAAGCAATTCTCCTGCCTCAGCCTCTTTTTTTTTTTTTCTGAGATGGAGTTTCGCTCTTGTTGCCCAGGCTGGAGTGCAATGGCGCGATCTCGGCTCACCGCAACCTCCGCCTCCTGGGTTCAAGCAATTCTCCTGCCTCAGCCTCTTGAGTAGCTGGGACTACAAGTGCATACCACCATGCCTAGCTAATTCTTGTATTTTTAGTAGAGACGGGGTTTCATCTTGTAGACCAGGATGGTCTCGATCTCTTGACCTCGTGATCCACCCGCCTCGGCCTCCCAAAGTGCTGGGGTTATAGGCGTGAGCCACCGCGCCCAGCCTGGTCTCTATCTCTTGACCTTGTGATCTACCCACCTTGGCCTCCCAAAGTGCTGGGATGACAGGTGTGAGCCACCACGCCTGGCTAGGAGTAGATATTTTTATTATTCTCAATTTGTAGGTGAGGAAACTGAGGCTTATTGAGGTTAAATGACATAGTGAGTCACACAGCAAATACTAGCATAAATATCATTGTGTAAGATCAAAGTTTGCGAATATTTTACATTCCTTCTTTTGTTTGAGCCTCTTCTTTTGTGATAGGCACTGTAAATATTTTTTCCCTTTTACACATAAGCAAAGAATTGAGAAACTTGCCTGGGCAGTCATTCATCAAATAAATAGTAAGGATGCCTACTATGTTCCACACATGGGTAGGTAGCAGTAGACCAGCTAGATCAAGTTCCCTGCCCATAGGGAGTTACTTTCTAAAGGGAATGAGTAACAATAAGTGATATATTTTCTGTATCGGACAGGTACTATGAGAAGGGCAAAATAAGGTAAAGTGGTAGACTGGGTCTGGAGATGCTGGAGGAGAGTGACTTCGGCCATGGTGGAGAGAGAGGGCCTATGCAGAAGGGATGGTGGTTGAGACCTGTGTGACCGGAAGGCATTCATTCTACAACCTAGAGGAGAGAACATACCAGATAACTGTACACAGTGCACTTGATAACCACTGCAATAAGCTTCCTCAGCTTTCTGCGTCACGTCCGCTTTTGCCATAGTAAGCTAAGGCATCTATCAGATGAACAGGATCATTGCTGGAGGAAGTGACAAGATAGGACTTGTGTGTAGGTCTTTCAATCTAAAGTCTGTCCTCTTTCTGCTCTTTGAGAGGCAGGGTAAATGAGTGATTATGAGCACAAAATCTGCAGTCATACTGCCTGGGTCTGAATTCTAGTTCTGCTAGGTCTGTGTCCTTGGATAAATTGCTTAAATTTTCTATGCCTCATTTTTTAACCTGTAAAATGGGATAATAGTTTGATAAAGCACTTATACAGTTCCTGGTATGTGGAGTATGGTTATATAAAGTGTTCACAGTTGTTACCACTTTTAAATCCTGAATGTTGCTATAGCAATGCAAAGAAAACAGCATTCAAGATACACTAGGCGCCAGACTGGAGTGCAGCGGCACAATCATGACTCACTGCAACCTCTGCCTCCTGGGTTCAAGCAATTCTCCTGCCTCAGCCTCCCGAGTAGCTGGGACTACAGGTGCACACCACCACACCCAGCTAATTTTTGTGTTTTTAGTAGAGACAGGGTTTCACCATGTTGGCCAGGATGGTCTTGATCTCTTGACCTCATGATCCGCCTGCCTTGGCTTCCCAAAGTACTGGGATTACAGGCTTAAGCCACCACGCCTGGCCTTAGTTTTTACAATGAAAGAGCTCTTCAGCCATCGAATAGTCCCTATGATGCTCAGTATGATTCAACATGTGTAGTGGCCGTTTTAGATCTGAGTACTCTGTCATACAAGTGGAAACAGTATCCTAAACAGGCCTGTGATTTAAAAAGAAGATTCCAGTTTGCCAATTACAATCTATAAACTGCCTTATTTATTGTTATTAAAATATCATCTGTATTCTCATGTGTTTTCATTTGCTTTTTATTTAAGAATCCCATAACTGTCCTGAAGATTATACATAATGGCATATTTTAAGATCACTCATCCTTTTGAAGAAGTAAATACTAGAGATTTCATCCAAGAGAAATAAGTCTTAATTTTTTCATTTGTTGTTAGAAATCTTGATAAGGCTTTGAAAAGTTAAGTTTTTTCTCATCCTTTTGAGAAACATTTAATTGTAAGGTCTTTATCAAGTTAAAAACAGAATTTATCACATTTTAAATGGGTATTGGTTTTTGTTGGATTGTTAAATCACATTTTCTCTTACACATTCATTTAAATCACATGAAAGTCTGCCTGAAATGGCACTTTCACGATGATTCTGGGAACCATCCCTTTGATTGTATGGTATTTACTGCTGATATATGTATGCTGGTGTTTCTTGCCTTCCATCATACATAAATTTCAGTGGCATATTGAATACCATAGAGAGGAACTGATTAATGATAAATCAAATGTTTTACAGCATATTATTTGGAATGTTGAATTCATTACTATAAAAGAGTTATGTCTCGTCAGTATTTTCAGAGCTCTGGAATACTGTAATTCGTCGGTGCTCCTAATGTTCTCTGTTAATTATATGCAGGTTCAAAATTGGGTTCAATTTAACAATGTATAATACATGTTATAGTGAATCTTTATCACACAAAAAATGATTAGCAAATATCTAACACTATCTTTGATTAGAACTATTAAGTCCAACAGCTTGTATTTAATGAACATAATGTTAATTATATAGTTAACTGGGTAGTTCATGCTCTATTATAGGAATCACAAATTAGAATAAAGCTCTTTTGATGTATAAGGTGCCAAAGGAAAATTGGCTAACAAGAAAGGGAATAACCTTATATATGGTTAAGATGTCAAATGAACAATTTTAACTCACGATCTCTTTTTTTTTACAGAGAATACATAAATTGGGTTTTTATTTTTAGTTCCTCCTCTTTCCTTTAGAATTAAATGATGGAAAATGACTCTCAGTCCCCAAACTACTCTTGTGCATCATTCAAAATAGCCCTGACAGGCTAGTCCCTGTGATAGTGATGAGGTTTATGGCTTTCCATTCCTTGGTGTTCCATTACTCTGTCTACACAATCAAATTGATTAGTAGGCAGTAGCGAGCAAGGAATGAAAGGTGGCCGTTGAGAGCCAGCTGATGTCCATCATTTTAATGAACTGCTTAGAGATGGTTAATATTGTCCTTGATTCTCATTGTAGCTGATGATGACCAGATCTTTTAAAATGTTTCCCCCTCCCTTATTCTGCGTTACAGGGCCCACTGGAAAATGATTTGGTAGTTCACGTGGCACTTATAGCAGAAAGCCAAAGGTAAGAAATCCAAATGGATGGTAGGTTTTTTTTTTTTTTTTTTTTTTTTTTTTGTGGGGAGGGGAGAGGAAATGATTGCTTTATGCTTACAATATCGAGCATGGTAGAAGAGATTAACTTCAGAAACTCCTTTACAGGGTTTCAAGGATATCATTAATGCCACTTTAAATGGCCACCATATCATTCTTTTCATGTTTAAAAATAATTTTGTTTTAGTTAAAGTAAATATTAAAGACTTTGACCCGTGCCATGTTGCCTGGGTTATAGTTTTGAGAAATTCATGCAAACACATGGGGATTACTGAAATTAGTGCTTACTCTCCTTGCCAGCCCCTAATGTTTCCATCTGATGCTTCATGGAGAATCCATAAGAGCCTCTGAAGTCTAGTGCAGATGGCAAATTGCTAATACTAATAAATTAGTAATGTCCTCCAAGTTAACATGTTCCCTTTTATCTTCCTCCTTCACTGCTTCCTAAACTGTCAATGCATTGTCTAAAAACGTCTCTCTTTTTTTCCCTATGTTCTTTAGACTTCAAGTTTTTCTGAACACATATGGTATTCAAACTCAAACTCCTCAACAAGTAGAACCCATTCAGATATGGCCTCAGCAGGAGCTTGTGAAAGTGAGTGATTCTGCCTTTCTTTTCTTGCCTTGTAGAGGTACTAGGGCTTTATGGTTGGACTTAGTTTACAGACAAGTCACACAGTTAAAATCTGACTCTGAGATAGAACCAGTAATCCGAAAGCTTCTAATGAAATTGAGAAGCCCACTTTAAATGGACACTGTTACTAAAACAAATTTGCACTCTGTGTGTGTGTCTGTGTACATTATGTTTATAGGTATTATTGATTTCTACTTCTTTCTAAACTCTATTGCTAACTTAGGCTGAGCAGTTAAATTACAAGTTAGTCTTAATTTTAATAGGTATAAAATTATTCTTAAATTTTGATTTGCTTTTTTCCTCTTTTATCAAAATATATTCTTACATATTGATTTGACTTTTTCCTCTTTTTTCTTTGATTTTTTTTCCTCTTTGATTATCACAAAATGTTTAGGTATGAGAAGGTTTGTCAAAAAAAAAAAAAAAAAACCCACCTTCTCATACCTAAATATTTTTGATATTCACAACTTTCCTTTTTTTCTCTTGCCTTACTTGCCACATATGGTGTCTGAAGTAATTGCTACCCCTTTGTTTTGCTGGATCTCAAAGCAATTATGAAGTAAAAGTAACATCTGTATTTCATTGATGTAGTTCCATACCTGTTTGGGTTGGAATTAAAAGGTAACATTTGAGGCCTTTTGCATGCAGTGCTCTGCAGATGGATCCATTATTGCCTAAGCTTGTGAATATTCTTGCTCATTAGAGACAGGACATTGTTGACTCCCACCCACTACTTATTTATAAACTGCCATTTTTATTTACTATTTGTAAAAAAACAATGTAAGAACAAACTGTTCAGTGTCTGGTAGAAGTCTTTCTAACAGTATATCTCAAGTGGACATGATTAAGTGTATTAGGTTAATATAAATGGTTGTAGTCAAAGTCTTGATGCTGTAACAGAAGAATAAAGGCTTAGAGAAGAGAGGTACATGTTACATGGGAAAATGCAGGACTTCATTGCTGGGTATCAGGGCTGGTTCTTGATATTAGGCAACACAAACTAGAACCTGGGTGTCAGGTCACCAAGGGCACCAGCTCTTGGAGAGTCCTTCCACCTTCTTTAATAAATTTAACCACCACCACCCCACCAAGAGATAAGCTGAAAATACAAGGATCCCTAGAGTAGGTAACAGTTTAAACTCATGCCCAGATTGAAATGATGGTACAAGGCAAGGCGAGAAGACAACGTGGAAGGAGAGAAAAGGATGCTAAAATCTAAGGCTCTCGCGCTGTGCTGTTCGTATTCAGCGGCAGGCTGTTGCTGCTAATACACTTCTATATTCTCCCACTGAAAGCTCTAGAGAATGCCAACAAAGCTTATTCTTTGATAAACATACTCTTATAACCCAAATCTGCTTTTTTAGTGTAATTAATAATTAGCAACTTATTTTAATAGTAGGTGAGTTTGTATCCTAGCATTCAACATGCAGTCAAGATTTAAAAGGCTAACATGGTGAGCAAATGACTTGAATGTGGTATTCTTTCATTCAGCAGCAAACACATGCTATATGCAGAGCACTGTGTAGAACACTCAGATGAAATGACTTTCTCCCTGTTCTCAGTGACCTCTGAGTTTACTGGTTTGGCAGGAAAAAAACAGTTAATTACAGTTCACTTTGATAATTGTTATAATAGATGTTCATACAAAGTGCTTGTGGAATCAGAGGCAGTAGAAGGCATTCTGTTATAGAGCAACTAAGACTTACAGCAGTTCCTGGCTCATTTTGTATCTTGTTGTTTTAAAAATGTTGTTGACAAATGACTTACAATTTTGGTGTAGTGTGGCTAAAAAGACAAACTTGTGAGCAAGAGCCAACCTTCCAGTGCATGTGTTGAGATGGAAGATTGTTTTTCAGTCTGTGGTTCCAGTAGCTACTCTTTGGAATTCATCCTCTAAGATATATTGCCTACTATTCCAGTCCTTATAAGTCTGCCTTTTAAAAGTAAAGGTGCTCCCTCAAATCTTAGCTGATGCACATATTCTTATTCCAGCGATTGTTCCCTTTCTTCTGAGAAGCCGCTCCCTCCCTCAGCCCACTGAAGAGGATGTGAGGGCAGACAGCTGAGAGCAGGGCTTTTATGCAGCATGTGGTTAATATTCATGATGTGAAGACTATAGTGTGATTTGCTTCATGGGGGTCTGAATACAGAATTCTACTCTATGGTACAGACCTAGTAGGAAGTACGTCTGTATTTCTGGGTAGTTTGGTCACTACTGTGTCTTTCGGTGCATTAAATGATATGAATGTGCACAACATGGAGGCAGTGTTATATTCACCCTGGAATGTAGGGAGCACTAAATAAACTGTTACAGATCCTTGTACTGTAATAGAGTAGTATTTAAAGGAAACCCACCTAGATCAACACATTTTACTATTCATTTATTTCTGAAAATTTGAAACTATTAATATGTAAGGGAAAGGGGGCTATATCTAGTGTTATGTGCTATGGTTTCAGTGCAGCTATGCAACATAATGCTTATAAAGCACGATTTCTGGCCAGTTGACTTTGTCTAAAACCACTGCTATTCTAGAATCAATATTCACAGCACATGTGGTTCAGGAGAACATTCAGTTGCTCCCTCATTCATCTATCAAGTATTTCCTAAGTACCAGCTACATGCTAGGCACAGTGCCAACTTGGGCTGCTGTTCTACAGGAATGTACAATTCAAAAGAAGAAAGAGATACAGAACCAACTCTCACATAGATGTGTGCACTATGGCAGTGAACAGAGAGCTCTGGCAACACCACTAATTTTGTATACGATGAAGTTGTTATTTGAAATCTGTATCACAATCTGTAGATTGTATAGAGATAGTTGGTTTGATTTTCCATTTAGGAATATATAGGTTAGATTTATTTCTCTCTTTAAATGTAAAAATAAATTGCAGACAGATCAAAAATTAAAACTTTTTAAATTATTTAAATATAAAAGCACTAGAAGAAAAAAATAGGAAAATATTTTTTAGCTGTTGGGAAGGGAAGTCCATTTTTAGAATGATACCAGTGCCAAAAAGCCATTGAGGAAATGATTGACAAATACTGTATAACTAAATATAGCAAACAGCCTGGCATATCAAAGGTGCTTGTGAAATTTCCTAGTAGAAAAATGTTTATATTGAAATATTACATGTTGAAATGAGATTCCACCTACTGTGCAGTCATTCTTACATTTCTTAACACTGAAAAGGAGCAAACTGGGCAAAGTATTTGATTTAAGAGACAATATTCTTAATATATCAGGATTTATTAAAATAAAAAGAATGCTAAATTCCACTTAGAAAAGGAAACAAATGAAAAAATTTATACAACATGCAAATAGTCATTAACTATATCAGAAAATGCTGAGCCACAAAATATATGAATACAGTAGTTTAAAACGAAGTATTATTTTGACCCAAGAGGGTGGCAAGGCCTGTACACAGTTAATACCAATGTAACTTAGTACATTATTTCTAGAGGGTGACCAACCTCACATTATATTTCAAACAGGATGTATTCTCTTTGATCCAGCAAGTCTAGGAAATTATAGTGCAGATATAATAACACACTGTTCAAAGATGTTTATTGAATTATTTTTAAAATAACAAAAAATTGGAAGCTACCTTTAACAGGAGATACGAGTTAAAAAGGGTAAAAGGGGCTTATTGATTAGATTAAGTGCTCAGCTCTGACATTAACTTCTAATTCATTCAAAGACTGTTTTTAACCTTGTAGAAATTCTAGAAGTTTCTGCTCCACTCTGGCATCCTTTCCTGTTTTCTAATACCTCTGCAGACTTTTCCCCCTCAGTTTTAATATATCTTCAATCATTTCAACATTGAAATATACAGAAATATACAGAAAAATGCATAGATTTTAACATCTTGAATACTACAATATTAAGTTTAAAAAATGGGACACAGAATATGTTATATGAACCCATTTCTATAAATATAGACACATATTGGCATGTGTATAATATGAGCATATATTTATTGACATACTTTTAAGAGTCTTTAACCCTATCTATACTCTTGGTGCCTCTTAGGGATTCACAATAAACTACCCCTTTCAGCATACACCAGAGAAATAGTTGTTGCAAAAGGGATTGTGGAAATAAACAGGAACATTCACTTTGAATATATGGTTTTAATTTTCATAAAATTTATATAATCAGAAAAAATCAATGAAGACATTTTCATTTAGGTGAGAAATATTTGAAGGTAGAAATTTAGTAGGAGATTATGGCCCTAGTTTTTAAAATGTTAAACAACTAGATTTTTTTAACGATACAGGAAGCATTAGCCTCTTTGTGTTCTTTTGTGAGTCAGAGCAATGCAAGTTGTACATTTATAATAGTGTAAGAACAATATAAAATTTAAGAATGTTGCTAAGTAGATCTGTAAAACTTTTGCTCTCAGATATCTCAGTTATACAAAACCTAGGTTGACATTTTTGGCTAGCTTGTCTAACCACAAGTTTTTGGATTAGGGTTCCCTAGCTTCTTTTTCTCTGAAAAGATTAGAAACCAACAGGGCAATACTCAGGGGAAGAAAGTGACATGGACTCTTACCTGACTCTAATTTACCAACTTATCTGACTCTAATTTATAAACTTGTGTCTTACAGGCTTATTTCTACCTGGGTATCAATGAAAAGTTAGGACTCTCCGGAAGGCCAGATAGGCCCATTGGCTGCCTTGGTACATCAAAGGTGCTCATGAAATGTCCTCAAAAAAAAAAACTTTGGGATTCTAATAACACATGCTGAAATGGTGTTTGACCTGCTGTGTATCCTTTTTCATTTTCATTATGTACTCACACTACTTATCTGAAGTATTATTTTCTGCAAGTAAATCGTATTTTGCATCATATCATGGAAGTCTCATAGAAATAAAGGAGCACTTCACTGCCAAATATATTATTTCTAAGCTTTGTAAAATACCTGATTATAACAATATTTACTCAAACACGGACTTTTTTCATCATATTAGAGGTAGACTATAAGTTTATTAGTATACTGCTTCAATCAAGAAACTTTAAATTTTTTTAAATATGTAAATTTCACAAGCTATTAATTTATGTGCTTATTCAGAATTAAACATCAGGTTTTATTTCTGTTGGGACTTACAGTATTGTATCTTTGCCTTTGGTATGTTTTTTAGTTAATTTGTTTTAAAACTTTTTCCCTTACAGATTTATCGCATTCTAGGAAAGACTGTGGTTTGTTACCCGATTATCTTCGACCTAAGTGATTTCTACATGTCTCAAGATGTTTTGCTGCTGATAGATGACATAAAGGTAGCCTCAGAACACCTTTCTTAAAAAATGGAATGACTTTGTTTCCACTGATTTTATCACATGTTCTATACTGAATACTCCAAGGAGTAAACTGTGACCCTAGGTTAACACAGTGTAAAGTATGACCGCAAAACCAGCTGCGTAGTTTTGGAGAAGTGTAAATTACTTGCAGCATTGGAATAATAGATGACCTCTGTCTTATATGCAGTTGTGTGACTGCTCATTGTGCCTTTCTACAAATAAAATGAAAAAATACAATTCAGAAAAACAGGGGGACCTATTTTGAAAAATATGTTCATGAGACAGTTTATCTCTTTTTGAACAACAGGTGAATTAGCAAAATAATTTTATTTGTGAAAAATATCCAGTAGAACCTCAACTAACTCATAACTCCATGAGTTAAAATTGCCACTCCCCTTTCTACTTGCAGAGTAGAGAAGGTTAGAATCATGATTCAAAGCATGAAACTTGGAGCCAGACTGTATTTGTTAAAATCTTGGCTCTGCCACTTGCCAGCTATGTGTTCTTGGGCAAGTTACTTAACTCCTCTGTGACTCTGTTTTTCCATCCGTAAAACTGAATAATAATTAAGGGCTGTTTTGAGGATTAAATGAGTTAATATATATAAAGTACTAAGAATAGTTCCTGCATATATGGCATACTATCTAAGTCTTTGATGTAATGATAATAGTGATGATGATGATGATGATGATATGTAAGTATTTGAGATGATTGATTGATTGATTGATTGACAGATAGGTAGATAGATATTTGGTCAAACAAAGAACTCCTACATTGCTAATGGTCTGTATAGATTCAGTCCAGTCTCCTCTACCTGCTATAAGATAAATCCCCAGTAATATGAAGTGAGTTAATCTTCTGGATGGCTGGCACAATTGTTCTCCCTGAGGCCACTCTTGAACTGTATTTTTTAGGCTTTAAAAAGAAAGGAGGCCAGGTGCATTGGCTCATACCTGTGATCCCAGCACTTTGGGAGGCTGATGCAGGTGGATCATTTGAGCGCAGGAGTTCTAGACCAGCCTTGGCAGTCTTTAAACAAACAAAACAAATAAATAGATTAAATTTTTGTTTAAAAAAAAGAGGGAAAAAACCCATTAAAACCAATGTAGTGTGGTTACTTTTAAGAACAAAGTTTGAAACCATTGAACTCAAAGTGGTGTTCAGCATAACTTGCATGTACCCAGAGAACCTGCTAGAGCACGCGTACCCCTAAGTAGTCTAAATCATTCAGGGTTGGATTGTGAACTGTCTTGCTACATAAGAATTTTGTTGGCTCTTTGGCACTCATGGTTAAACATCCTGTTCATCTTAGATACTGTGCCATTACATCCTACCTCATTCTGTTTTGACAGAATGCACTGCAGTTCATTAAACAATATTGGAAAATGCATGGACGTCCACTTTTCCTTGTTCTCATCCGAGAAGACAATATAAGGTAGGTTGATAAAAGCGGTAAGGTGTCTTATGTCTCACTGCCATGAACATAGTGAGCCCTTTGGAAGAAAGGCATCCTTGGATTTTTTTGTGTACTTCTTATTATGTGGTAGAATACTTTCTATATGTAAGGGACACTTAGATTATTAATTTACCATTCTTTTGTTAATCTGTATATTTTATTCATATTTTTTAGAGGTAGCCGATTCAACCCCATATTAGATATGCTGGCAGCCCTTAAAAAAGGAATAATTGGAGGAGTCAAAGTTCATGTTGATCGTCTACAGGTAGCCTTTTGATTTTCAGTATGCTTCTATTTTCTGGACGTTGAATCTACAATACAGCTATATTCCTTAATATATGTTCTATTTAAGGTTTTTTTCTTAAGATTTTATTATCTACCTATCTTCCTATTCCTATTGTTACTTTTCCAGTTTATCTGATCCCACCAAGTCAGATGCTTGAGCACTTGCAGCAATTTCCTGTGCAGAATTTTAGATGTCAGTAGCTCATCTCTAAAAGCTAGGTCCATAGTGATGAAGTGACCTGCCTTATAACCTTGGGCTTTTAGGGGCAAGTTGGCTGACTGTTGGTCCAGTGCTCTTTTCCCTGCTCTACAGTAACATCCAACCTGGGAATAACCCTTGTTCCATTCAGAACTTCACAGCATTAACTTCACAGCTCCTAAATTACAGAAATACTCTTTGGTTCACTGCTGGTCCTAACAGCTTCTCTATTGCCAGTTCTCTTCTACTAAACACCTTTGTGCTTCAGCCAATACAAATTAATTACTGTGTTTCGAATTTCGTGGGATCTGTCCCTCTGCTCATACCATTTTCTCTGCCTGGAATAGCCTTCCTTCTTTCCAGGTCACTGGGCTTTGAGGTCTCATCAGACTTTAAGGGCAGCTCTGCAAAGTCATCCGGACCACAAATACACTTCTGTTCTTCACCATGCTTTTGAGACCTTTAACTTAAACTACTAAGATTGCGGTCTATTAAAGAGACTTCTATACTTTATACCTATAAGATAATTATGGTTATTCCATGGGGTCTTTCACATAGTTGGTGCTCAATATTGAATAGGAAAGAGGAAAGTTTATAAAGAAAGACTTAGGTAGTGTTATAAATGGCATGTTTACATACTCATTCACTGGTGATTGTATTTTGCATACGTGGTTGATTTTTACCTAAGCATTTATCTTTTTTTTTAATATTTTCTGTTGCTTTGTCTTTCTGTAATGCCTCCTGGGGCAATTTCTTTGATTCTATCTTACAATTCTTCTATTGAGTTTTGCGTGTTGGCTATCATGTTTTAAAATTTCATTTTTCATAGTGTCCTGTCCTATGGATGTTTCATGGATGTCACATTTTGTCTTACTTTTCTGAGGATATAAACTAGAGATTATGGTTTTTTTTTTGTTTTTGTCATTTGTTTTAATTTTCTTTTGCTCTGCATTCTCTTAGGTTTTTTCCCCTCAGTCTTTCATGTTGGAGGCATTTGTCAGATGTTTGGTATTCTTTAGCTATTTATTCATTTTGAAGAGTGAAGGAGTAAAAAGTTTATAGGAAGCTCTCTGCTTGGGTACACAAGATTCTTTTTTTTTTCTTTGTGATTTCAACTTTTATTTTTAATTCAAGGGGATATTTAGGTAAATTGCATGATGCTGAGGTTTGGGGTGTGAATGGTCCCATCATCCAGGTTCTAAGCGTAGTCTCCAATAGTTTTTCAATTCTTGCCCTCCTTCCTTCCTCCCTCCCGCTTCTAGTAGTCTTTTTGTTTTTTGATACGTACCAGGTAATGGGATTGCTGGGTTGAATGGCAGTTCTGTTTTAAGTTCTCTGAGAAATCTCCGAACTGTTTTCCTCAGTGGCTAAACTAATTTACATTCCCACCAACAGTGTATAAGCATTCCTTTTCTCTACAGACTCACTAGCATCTGTTGTTTTTTGACTTTTTAATACTAGCCATTCTGATTGGTGTGAGATGGTATCTCGTTGTAGGTTGTTTTCTTTGTTTCTTTTGTTTGTTTGTTTGAGAGACGGGGTCTCACTCTGTCCTCTAAGGCCGGACTGCAGTAGAGTGCACAGCTCACTTCTCCCTCAATCACCCAGGCTCAAGGGATCCTCCCACCTCACCTTCCCAAGTAGCTGAGACAACAGGTACGTGCCACCATGCCCAACTAATTTGCAGAAACGGGGTCTTGCTATGTTGCCCCAACTGGTCTCAAACTCCTGGGCTCAAGTGATCCTCCTGCCTCTGCCTCTCGATGTGCTAGGATTACAGGCATAAGCCACTGTGCCCAACCTCATTGTGGCTTTGATTTCCATTACTCTGATGTTTAGTGATATTGAGCTTTTTTTTTTTTTTTTTTTTTTAACGTTTGTTGGCTGGGTAGGAGAAAGATTCTTGATGAATTCACTTAAGGTGATCTGATGGCAAAAGCTCCTTTTGTTGTAGAAAGCCTCAGATGCTAATATCTGGAATTATTTTCTCTAGGGCTTTTCAGTCTACCCCTAAAGTAAATATCTAACCTCATGGCCAAAGAACATACACTTTGTTTCCCTGTTCTGAGAGCAGGGTGGAGGAAGGGAACGAGGGATCCCACTGTGAAGTATGTAGCCTCCAACCAAATCCACTGTTTAATCCTTGTAGCTGCTGCTCTCTGCTGTGCCTTATACTCTTGAGTACAGTGTTTTTAACCAGAGAAAAAGCCTTTGGTTTCTCAAAAATCAGAGAGCTAGAAGCAGATAATAAATTCCTAAGTGTTTGGTGAATGGAAAGGAACTTTTGGACTCAGTCTTCCTATGTGGATTGTCTGTGAATCTCATCAGTGTCTGAGTCACAGGATCCTGAGGCTCTTTCCTGTTCTCTTTGTCCTAATAGATTTATACCTTAGTAGGTTTATACCTTAAACCTTTTTTTCCACTATCATTTTAGGGATTTTAGGAAAAACAGGAGTTAAAGATATGTCTTGGTCATGTTAACCAGAAATCTACTTTTGATTTCATATTTAAATGTCCCTCCCATTCCAGGATCTACTTAGGCATTTTTCTATTCCTTTTAAGAAATATGTGGACCTACATGAAAAAAAAAGACCTAAATAATTTTGATGAGAAATATAAGATTTGAATAAATAATTGGCTATAACATATTCTTGGATGAAAGGACTATTAAAAAATGTGAGTACCTCCTAAATTAGCATACTGGTTTATTATAATCATGGTCATTTAAGTGGAGTAGAACTTTTGGCAATTTCATATGGTTAAGGGACAAAAATTAGAGTTCAGGGAAGAGGAATTTTGATAAATACTCCAGACTTTCAGATGACCCTCTTGAAAAACTATACCTTTGAATAAAAGGGAATCAGAAATAGTTCACTTCTCACAAAGAGTGGTAGATAACATTATCCAGAACCTCAAAGTATTTCCACAAATATGTACAATGTCTGTCTGTCATTCAAAACTTAGGCTTACTAGGAGTGATCAAACAACAGAGAGCCATGAGGAAACACAGACAATAGAAGTAGACTTACATTGCTTTAGCTATTAGAGTTATCAGACATGGACTTTTGAATAAATCAATATGCTTAAGAAATTAGAGCTGCGTACATGGCTTCCCATTCCTAGTTCACTCCTTTTTATATTCAAGCACCTGAACTTTCATCACTTTCTTTTCAGCAGCAGAGTTTAACGTCTGCTTCACTACCTATCTCATTTTCCCATTTTTAGGTGTGTTTCAGAAATTATAGGAGAAAGAGGTCAGTAGTTTTGTCATGATTCAAAGAGTTTTATATTTTAAAAAAATGTGAATGGAAGTTCACCATTTGTGTTTTTATTTTTTCCTTCTTTTATTTAAATTAAAAATATTTTATCAAAAGCAAAATGTTAAGTATATAAGTTTTCTTAGACTTGCAGTCATTAGTAACCCAAAATGTCAACAGTATTTTTGAAGATCTTCTGAATTTAAATATGTACTTTGTCATCTCTTTTAAAATTGTGGTAAAACATACATAACATAAAATTTGCCATCTTAATTATTTTTAAGTGTCCAGTTTAGTAGTGTTAAGTACGTTAATTGTTATGCAATCTCTAGAACTCTTTTCATCTTGCAAAACTCAAACTCTATACTCCTAAACAATAGTTCTTCATTCCCCCCACACTCCAGCCTTCATTTTTTTTATTAAGGTGATAAATGAAAATGGCGTCTACATGCTCCTCTTGGGTTTTATTTTAGATCCTTTCAAATTTCCTTATTCCCTGATCCACAGTTTCTCTCATTATTAGGATCCTAGCATTCTTTCCTAGCCCCATTACCCATCTCTCTATGCAGTCTGTTCCTAGCCGTGCTTTCCATTCCCCAAATGTACTGCTTCCAAATCTCTGAATGTAATTGGAGTTTTTGTGGTACATGCTATTGTGGTATTTTGGAGTTGACTTTTTCTTTTTTTTTCTTTCTATGTCATACTTTAATGTTACAGCTTAGGTGAATGTTTCCTCCTTAGTGAAACCTCCAGGACTGGAATTAATTTCTCCTTTCGTTGTGCTTCTATGACATTTTGCTTGAATGTTTGCTGTAGCTCTTCTTTCATTTTATGTGTAGCTAGTTTCTTCTGCCTGCTTCGCTCTGTGGTTTGTAATCTTTTTCAGCCTAAGTTTCACTCATTTCTGCATCCCCAGAGTACTCCTCCTCACTACTGTCCTCTGTGGGAAATATTTAAATATTGGCTCATTGATTCAACAAATGTTTATTGTATTCCAACTGTAAGCACTGGGGACATAGTGGTGAATATGATATACAAGGTTTCTGACCACATGGGACTTAAATTCTAGTGGGGAAAGCCCAACAGAAAACACAGGTAGGCTGGGAGAGTTATGGGAAGGAATGTAATCTTAGGTAGGATGGTCTGTTGGAATATAATTGAGTGTTTTAAATATTATATTGCATTTGACACATACAATATTATTTAATTACCATCAGAAATAGAATACCAGTGCCTAGAATATTTATTAAGTATGCCTTTTTCCAATATTAATATATGAGCTTCTGCAACCAACTGAATTTTTTAAAATCAAAAGCCCTAGAGATTATTAATGGAATTTAGCATTTGCCTATTAACTTAGAGTAAACATTTATTTTATGGGATGAATTAGAATATATGGGTAAGTAGGCTAATAAAATGGAAATTGTTGAATATAATTTTTTTCTGTTTCTAGTATTAGCTATCAACTTTAAGAATTAAGTAATTCTTGACTCTATTTCTCTCATACCCTGTGTTATAATTTATTATTAAATCCTGTTGTCTCTATCCTCAGATTGTATCCAGAATCTAACCACTTCTCTTCACCTTTCGTGCTACCATCATGGTCCAGGCTCCCATTATCTCTCACCTAGGTTTTTACAGTCATCTCCTAAATTCCAACTAGACATAAGACAGCCTGTTTATGTTCTACCTGGTCATAGTCAGATTATGTCATATATCATAAGCCTCCAGTGACTTCCTCTCTCACACGAAGTAGAAACCAAAGTTCTTCAACTGGTGTATGTGCTCTCCATGGTCTGGACCTACATCTCTGATTTCATCTCCTACCAGCTGCCCCTTATTTCAACCACACTTTCCTCCTTACTGCTCTCAAAGACACTAAGCCTGCTACTGCCTCAGGACCTTTACACTTGCCACTCTCAACCCTGTACACTCTTCCCTCAGCTCTGTATCATTGACTCTAGTCCTTTCTTCAGTTTCTGATTACCTTTTACTCCGATCACCTATATGAAATGGCTAACAACCCTCATCCTACTCCCCTGCCCTGGTACTTCCTATCCCCTACCTTTCTTATTTCTACTTTGCACTTAAAACCATCTGACATAATAAATACATATATGTAGTATATGTTTTAATAATTATTATACACACAGAGTCATATGCCACATAATGATGTTTTAATCAATGATGGACCACATATACAATGGAGGTCTCATAAGATTTTAATACTGTATTTTTACTGTACCTTTGCTATGTTTAGATACACAAATGCTTACCATCATGTTACAGTTGCCTACAGTATTCAGTACATGTTTGTACATGTTTGTAGCCTAAGAGCAATAGGTTATGCCACATGGCTTAGTGCTTAGTAGGCTGTACCACCTAGGTTTGTGTAAGTATGCTCTGTGGATGTTCACACAACAATGAGATTGCCTAACAATACATTTCTCAGAATGTATCTCGGTAATTAAGTGATACGTGACTCTGTGTGTGCATGTGTGTGTGTGTACATGTGTATATGTGTGTGTAAGTGTGTGCTTTTTTATTGTCTATCACCTGCACATACCTATAAGATCAGTTTCAAGAAGGCAAGAATGCTATGTATTTTGTTCATGCTGTATCCTCAGTACCTAACATAGTACCTAGTAGGGTTACAGTAAAATTTGTCTAATAAATTATTTAACTAAAGAGCAAAATATATACATGCTAGCCTGTATATGAGGAAATGCCACTCAGAGCACCTCTATTGTGCTTGGCAGTCCCCTCTGCCTAGGCACAGACCCTGCTTTTAGGGAACTTACTGTTCAAGAGTCACCTGACTATAGCCAGGCTAGTAAAAATGTGCAGATCAACTCCATATTCAGCCTTCCTCACTCGGACTCAAGGAAGCTTTATTATGATTGCTATTAATATGTCCATCCTACCTTCTGTAAATGGGCATTTGTTGATCTACTTTGTTTATGAGTTTCCACTAAGAAGAAGGCACTACTACTCTGGCTAGTTAGCCAACAAAAGCAACTGTGTTTTTCTTGTCCTGTTTCTTCACATTTGAGATGAACAGTGAGAACACAGAGGAAATAATATGTTACAAATATTGCCTAAGTATGTAATAAATATTGCCTTATTTTTAAGTAATAATTTATAGCTTGCTTTTTATAAGTACATTTCTCAGTTTTCTCTGATAATTCATCAGATAATTAGAAGTGACACATAATGCTAAAAATCATTGTAGGTTTATCATTCATTTATGCTGTTCATACTGTTCACCGTGAACAATGTTTTAGGTTCAGATTCATTTAGTTTGTTCAAGCTATAATCAGAAACTAATGCAAAATAAAAAAGCCAAATAAATATGGGTAGCCATATACCAGAATGTAGAGAAGCACTGGCCTGGATAACCAGTACCTTCATGTTCCTGAAAAAAATGAAGCCTTTGTGGTATCCTATCATTGGATGACCCAAAAATACATCACAGTAGCAGAATCCAAAGCCCGATTTCACATCTTTTCCCAAAGCAATTGTAGTATTTTATGTTTTTTCTAATTTAGAAATTTTACTTTTTGACATTTTAATGGGTACTGAATTATTTTAATTCCAGCTTAAAAATAAATGCCTGCAATTCTAAGAACAGAGAGTTCGTCTCATGTTGACCTATTTATGATGACTCATAAACTTGTAACTTAATGTGTATATTCTACTTTAGGCTTCTTTTGTGTGTGTGGAAACCTGAGTGATTTTAGAATGCTCATTTAAGAAATTACTTCAGAACTGTATGTATTTTTGAGCAGTTTTTTTGAAGTATTACTTAATTACAGAAAGGTATGTGCACAGGCCATAAGAGTATGGCTTGATGTATCTAAGAGTTTCTAATCTTTTTTTGATCACGTTTCAGACACTAATATCTGGAGCTGTAGTAGAACAACTTGATTTCCTACGAATCAGTGACACAGAAGAGTAAGTCCCTTTGGGTTATTTCATTTTTGGGTTTCTTGAAAGTACACTAGAAAAGCAAAAAATCTGAAACACTTTCTTTTAATTTCTAGGCTTCCAGAATTTAAGAGTTTTGAGGAACTAGAACCTCCCAAACATTCAAAAGTCAAACGTCAAAGCAGCACCTCCAGTGCTCCTGAACTGGAACAGCAGCAGGATGTCAACATTAGTGAATGGAAAGACAAACCTACTTACGAAATCCTTCAAAAACTGAATGTGAGACAGATGCAGTTCCCACATGGGCCTAAGTGAGGTTGTTGGAGCAGAAGCTCCCAGAGTCAGACCATATGTCTTTTTGTCCTCTCAGTGAAGGTAGCAGTTAATCTGGAGGTGGATGACTTGTCTACACCAGGGAATTACTGAGGAGTTGTTCTCTTGGTCTAACATTTGCATGGATATCTTTAAAAATGCTTAAGAAGTGCAGATGAATACATTTGTCTTGGATATAAAAGTATGATATGAGCCATTAAAGAAGTTGAGCCAGTGATAGTTATCTTTGGGCTCTCCAGATTTCTCTTTCAATGCCCTCTTCCTCCCTCTCCGCCCCTGTCTTGTCCCCTGCCCCAGTGTTTAGGTCTGATGCTTGCTTTAGGTCTGTGCTGTCGCTGAGTAAAGCAATCTTTTCACTGCATTCATACAAATATTTTAGAAAATGAATATTTATCTTTCCTAAGTTACTTATGTTTCAGAAGAGTCAGGATGGGATAGGATGTAGTACTGATTCAAGGAAACAAAATTCCCCCAGTAGAGCTATAAACACTGTGATATTTTGTTTGGGCCATACAAATTTGAGCGTGTAGACCAAATATATATCCTTCCAGATATGACAAATTCTTGTTGATTGATATTGTATAGATCCAAATAAACATGAATAAGATCTAATATGGCATAAAGCACATAGCACAGTGCCCTAACATGTAATAAACACTCTAAACAAGTCCCCTTCTGTCATCCATCTCTTCATAACAGTTTGGTAGCAACATGGACTCCCATTTACCAATAAGGAGAATCAAGAAGGGAGTGGTTAAATGACGTAGCTAAGTCTCTCAGAGAGTGGTAAAATCAAAATTAATGCTTGTAGATAAAATATTTTCTGTTAATTACTTATCTTGTTTTCTGGCAAATTTGATTATTAAATCCTACCACGCTAAGAAGCCAGCTTGTTACTTGTCTACCCTCTATCTCTAAGACATCTAAGATAAATATGAATCATTGTATAATATCATCTTGTGTTTGATATCGTATCAATGACATTTTATCTTTCCTCAGTTCCATAGTAAAGTATTTCTTCTCTGCATCATGTAGTTTTGTGATTAGTTACCCCCTGTGGTAACTTCTGTACCCATTTCATTCTAGTTCCTCATTGTGATTTATATTTTCAGGGCTGCAGTTGTCTGGCTAGCCAAGCCATCCTGCTGGGTATCCTGCTCAAAAGAGAAGGCCCCAACTTCATCACAAAGGAAGGTAAGAGTGCGTGTCTAGGAGAACATTTTAAATAACAGGGCCTCTCTACCCTTGAACATATATCAAATATGCATAAAATGCCCACTAAAATGTTACAAGTTATTTCCCTCTTCATTAAACATTTTTTTTTCACTTTTGAATGGAAAATGTTCATTCATACCCCCTAGAGTAGAGGAGAGTGATATATGAACCCCTAAATGGCTTTCATGCAGTGATTCTTGATTGTTTCTCTGATTGTCTGAATAGTATTAGAGCTTGGATTCGGCCTGTGACTGTTAACCTCTGATGAATTCCATAGTTGTTTATTGACAGTTTCTGTTGCCCATTTTATCGTCTCTAATTTTTCAAGAATAACATTGAATTGTTAAGTCTATAAAAATTAGCTCTCATGATCTGCAGCAGCCATTTGGAATGGAATGTGGCATTTAATAGAATTGTGCTCTGAAGATGGTTAATAAAAATAAATCATTTCTAATTATGTCTGTGTCCACTCTGCATTAAGGATGAAACCCAATTATCCCCCAAATTCACATTTGCATGTGGAGTCACTATGTAAGGCATCTTCAAGTTATCCACCATGGTCCACTTCTGACATTTTGTAATACAGAATAATATGGAATACAGTTCAAGTACTTAATGTCTAGCTATTCAAAATATTTGGCTCATTTGAAAATACTCTCTTAAGAGGTGGGTGTTCATATGGTTAGAACTGAAAAATACGTGATAATAATAATACATATAGTTCTGGTAATTAACCAAGCATAGTTATTCAAATGAGATCTACTTAGTTTTTGCATTATTGTAGCTAAGAGGTAACCTTCTTGAGTGTTATACATGGGAATTAAATAGTTTTCAATTTCTTAGCTTGGTAAAAGCCGAAGAACTTGTAGCAAATTTCAAACTTGAATTTCAAACATGAATCTTTCATGTTTCTAATTAGTCTTAAAACTGTAAGTATAAGCAGATTCTCAGTTATATTTAGGACATTCATTGAAATTTGCACTTTAGCTAAAACAATAGGATTTCAAAAAATCAAACATTTCATTAGAAACCTAGAATTCAGCATGGCTGTTTTAGTAGTGCTTTTAAATAAAAGAAAATTTATATAAAATAGTTTATAATGAAAATGCTAAGGGAGTGATTTTTTAAAACCATTTTTATAAATGAGAATAATGTTCATCTTTTACTTAAATATTCAGAAGACCTTAAATGTTTTAAATCTATAAAACCTTATGTGAAACATTGAAAATCATACACATCTACAGAATCCAAATATAATTTGATCAAATCTGTTAAAAGGCTAAAGTTCAGAGTAGAATGTGAAAGCTCTTGTTCTTTATCTTTGTTTCCTTTTTGGTGATCTTTCCTGTCACATTGTGATTTTACTGACAAAATGAGTGGCCAAACAATGAATCCCATTGGTGTCTTTTGAGCTGTAGTATATGTTGGAATGATCATAGCCTCATGTACATAACAAGGCCTCAGTAAAGTTTTGTTGAACAAATAAATGAAAAGGCATGTATATTCAGAGTCTATAGTATTTGGTCAATTGCTAATTATTTTACCAGATTCTGTTTTCCTCTTTTCTGCAGTAAATTAAAATCGCATTTGTATTTGTTAAAAGTGTAGATTGCATATTAATTAGGAAACAGTTGAATTTTGAGAAATAAAATACCAAAATTATCTATTCAGACTAAATGGTATCAAGTGCTGGAGATAGTCACACTCTATATGTTTGAGTTACACATTTAAATATGTCAGTTCAGAACATTAATGGATCAATGTATCAACTCTAATGAAACACAGTGAATATTTGAGTACTTCTTTTAAGAGAAATAAATGTTATGCATTTAATTAAAAGCTTTGTTCAACAAAGACTCTATTATCCAATGTCTAGGTACCGTTTCTGATCACATTGAGAGAATCTATAGAAGAGCTGGCAGCAAAAAACTTTGGTTTGTATTAGTGTCCTTGTTGCTATGTTTTATTTTTGTGTTGTCATATTCGATAGCCTAAAGAAAATTGACTAATCTTAAAGATGGTTATTCATACTAATTTTTACTTTTAACCTCCAAGGTTATGGCATTTTCTAAGAATGTGCCTGTGAAACATGTCTCTCCCCATCACTGCCTCCACCCAAAATTCTGAGAACAAAGACACTATAGGGATTGAACCTGAAGAGTATTCACTGGAATGATATGCTAAGAATTTTTCCTACTCTACACCTCTTCTGCCCCAGCAAGGTGCTTTAGGTTCTGTTCTTTAATTTAGGAAACCTATTCTGCCATTATAGAAGGCCATGAAAAGAGACCAATGATTCATCTAATCTTAAGCAAAAATAATATACTTGGAAGGCTATTCTCTTGTCACTTAAGTTGAATGAATCCCAGTGATTATAATTGCTTCATGAAAAATAACTAATTTGTTCTGCAGAGGTAGTCTCTTCCCAGAGACTGAAAAAAACATAAAAAGTGGGAAAGTTTAAATAAATGAAATTTTAAATAAAATTGTTTAAATTCACAATGGGATAAGAATGCCTAAATGCATGGCCCTTTGCATTTTGATGTAATTCTAACAGTTTTACTAGCAGAATCTAATAAATTTTGAAAGTAAGATATATGTAGTATATATAGATACATGTGAACACGCACACATTGTTTTTAATAACACGTTATCTATGTTTTAAAAAAAGTCTCAAGAATGTCATAAGAAACTCCCTTAACCTCAATGAGCCTCAGGTTTCTAATCCCTAAAATAAGGGGATTAGACAAAACAATCTCTTAGAATATTTCAACTATTTTTATTGTAAATATACCATTCCTCCTCAGAAGAAATAATGTAATAATCCTATAAAATTTTCCAAATTTTCACTGTAAATTCTCAGTACAGTAAGACATGCAAGCCAATAGGTGATCATTCTGGTAAACTTTCTTAGCCAGTAAGTCTCAAATGTGGTCTGCAGTCTTAATTTTGATTAGCAAACCTGTTCTTGCTTTATGTATCACACTGTATGCATTTCAGATAAATCATTAAGTAGCAAACATTTAGAATGCTAACTGTTATGTCTGGAAGAACTCTTGGAAGTTTTATTTACTCTATTTTCCCTTTTATGGCTTTCCACTGACACACCCAGGTTGGCGGTGCGCTACGGGGCTGCATTTACCCAGAAATTTTCTTCCTCTATAGCCCCACACATTACTACTTTTCTGGTACATGGGAAACAGGTAACATGCACAGAATTTGAAAACCCAAGCTGCTTGAAATGTGTGGACTTATTTGCACTCTGAGGGTTAAACATTGTCCTTTGGTCTTATAGTGTGTGGGTGAAAGCTTCTCTAGAAGTAGGAAGTGTTTGTTTCACTAACTTTATTAGTTATTGACTTAATTTTCTGTTAGTCATCTATGCTGAGATTAAGGAATGTAGAAGCTTTTTATACGTCAGCTTCTGTGGATATCCTGAAATACATAAAGATTGCAGCCAGTTTCAAACCTACATTTTCATTTTACTTTCTCTGTCTAAAACTTCCACGTGAATTTTTACTTTTGAGGGAAAGAATGTCTTACGTATTGCATGTGCTGTACTTTAAAAAATAAAATCTGTTCTCCCTACGTTCTAGGACTTTTTCAGTAATATAAAAATAGCAGTGTAAATTCCTTTCCCCAACATGATGGCTTTATCAGGAAAAAGAAATACTGGTAATTCATTGTGGCACTTTCTAAAATTCAGTACTAAGTGAGTCCTCTAATACAGAGATTTGGTTATCTAGGCACCAGAAGAAACATGATTTAAAGTGGTTATATGAAAAGGTCACATATGCCAGTGACAGACTTAGCAATGAACTTGTAAATGCAAAATTAGAATACCCTCTTAATCTCTCCTATACACCCTACCTCCCTAATCAAAGTAATCATTAGGTTTTCTTTTTTTGCTTTTTAAATTGATAGTGTCACCAATAATGTTTTTGTCACAGCTTGGTGGCAGGGATGAGGTTGAGGGATCCTTCCGTAATTCTGAATGGTCCTGCAGTCTGGGAAGTTTCAGCTGTGAGGTTCAATGTCTTGGGCTATTTCCTCCAAATGATTATGTGAGGATTCAACCGTGTATATATTAAAGACTACCTAATCAGGGCCCCATGCATTCCTCATCTTTTAGATTTGTGAACATCTGGCCTGCTCTCTTCTTTGCCCCCAGGTCGGTTGTACGCCGTGCAGCAAGTCTTTTAAGTAAAGTAGTGGACAGCCTGGCCCCATCCATTACTAATGTTTTAGTGCAGGGAAAACAGGTAAGTATTTGCTTTTCAGACACTTATTTGGTCAAAGTTGCAAAGATTTCTGGGTAGGACCCTTAATTTTCAGTCTGGCAGGCCTCAGTGTCGTAGGCTTCTCACAAACAGATTAATAAGGGCTCAGGCATTTCTACAAAAGTCACCTTCCCTAAGCAAAATCTAGTCGTAAAGATATTAAATAGGCCTTTTCTTTTCCTGCTGCACCTTAGAGCTGTGATCTTCAGCTCCTCTGTTAACTTGAGATCAATGCAGATGCTCTTTTAGAACACAGACCGATAACTACTGAAGTACTCCAGGCAGGTTTCAGATAGGCAGAGCAGAGGTAGTTGAAGAGTGAAGGGTACATCTTCCCTTCTACTCCACATGAGATCTCCTCCGTTTAGGAAGCATGGTGTTCATGCCCAGCCAGGGTCTCTGCATGCCAGTGCTGCTCCCCAGATCCCCCGCTGCAGGCCATCTCTAACCCCAACTCCTCCCCATTCACCAAGGCCAACTCTGTCACCTCCTCCTTATGGAGTCATCTCCTGTTAGCAATGGTCTCTCTGTCCTTTGGATTCTCAAAATAGGTCTGTGACACTTCTCACAATCTGCCTTCTGTCCCAGTTCATTTGAATGTGTATCTCTTACCTCATGGTAGGCTGTGAGCCCCCAGGGGTCGGAGCCTGGGTCTTGTCCAGTATACATCCCAGTGTGCCCAGCATGGGGCCTTGCTTAGAAAAGGCACTTGGTGAATGTGGGTCGAATTGAGCCTGTGCATGTGGGGTGTGGCTGCTCGTTTTCTGTTTTGTTTTCTATTAGCTCTAATTTACCTGGCTGAATCATCCTTTGATTAGAATGAAAACCTGTCCACTTACTATCTCTTCTCTGTGCACTATATGTGCTTTATTGTGTTTTCCTGAAAGTTAATCTGGGGATATAATAAGCTTTAGTAATATGAAGTACTTTAATGCTCTTCAGTGGAATCAATCAACCCATTGGTCATATTTCAGGACTCTTAATTCATTAAGATTAAAATCATTCATCCTCACATTTAGCTTTTTAAATGTTAGAATAATAAGCTATTTATTGTTTCCTGTAATATTTAATAATTAAAAATAATTGTACTAATTAAAGATTACTGCTGGGCATGGTGGCTCACACTTGTAATCCAAACACTTTGGGGGCCAAGGCAGGAGGATTGGTTGAGGCCAGGAGTTCGAGACCAGCCTGAGCACATAACAAGACCCCATCTCTGCAAAAAGAAAGAAAAGCTGGATCTGGTGGCACATGCCTTGGCCACATCTTGGAAAGCTGAGGTAGGAGGATTGCTTGAGCCCAAGAATTCGAGGCTGTAGTGAGCCATGATCATACCCACTACACCCCAGCCTGGGCAATAGAGCAATACCCTGTCATTTAAAAAAATTAAAAAGAAAATATACAAAAACTCCTAAGAAAAAGTTAAATCACTTCATATATGTTATTTTCTCCAAATTATTGAGAGGTAGAATTTTTATCCCTGTTTGTCAATTAAAACAGACCAAAATACAGGAAGTAACTTACCAAATACCTTTTCTCACCAGAATTCTCACCTCCAGCCATAGTCTTGTATTTTGGCCCTGGACCAACCCATCTCTGAAAGAAAGTTAAACAGGCTTTGAGAAGATATTTTTCCTTGGATTTTAGATCCTTGTTAGCATATCTGAAAAGAGTTAACTCTACTGCATATGAGCATTCAGAAGCTTTTGGACATCTTCGAGGTCATCAGCACCTGGCACTGGAAGAAAGGGTGGGCTAGGGTTGGTCCTGTCCCTTCTACACAATGTCTAAAGGGGGCTTGCAGCCTGTGGTCCTGAGATCCTGCTCTCACATCCTGGAAGCCTCATAGCCTGCCGTAAGGTTGTGCCTGGACCATTGCTCATCACACTAGTGTGTCCCAGGGTGACAGTCACTCACAGAGCTGGGCAAGACTCGGAGACCAGTAGCTCAGCTTCATTACCAGAAGCATGAAGTCCATTCCTTGACCGCATCTTACCTCTCTACAAAAAAGAAATGAGAATGGAGCATTCAGAGTTTATACTTGCGCATTTTTGAAAAGCCGCCCTAAGCACTGAAGTAATACTGTTTCTACCAAGCACGTTCAGATCACCTCAAACTCTGTGGAATGAAATCATGGCTTAGTCATCATTGTTTCCAGAGGCAATGATGTGCCTTCTCTTTGTTTTCTTCTTTACATACTGACATCTTAATAAAAGTATTCACACTCAGACTAACTGGTTCGTGCCACTTGTGATACAGTAAACCAGCAGTTCATGGTTTTCACTCCATGACAAAATTGAGGCAATAGACTCCATGTTCTGCTCTCTCCCCTCATCTCTGTGGCCTTTGATATGCTATTCTTTTTTCCTGCCTTTTCTAATTGTGCATTGTACATGGAAAAGAGATGGAAAGGGGTACTCAGGGGGAAGGGCGGCCTGCAGAGTCCTCTGGGAGCAGAATGCCAGGCATAGAAGAGAGAGAGAGACCAGCCTACTCCCCTTGCCAGTTTCAGCAGCATTCTGCTCGGAGTTTTCCTGACCATTTTGCTCTGTGCTCTCTCCTGTCCCAGGCTGTGGGCAGCCTGTTCCTTCCCCTCCACAGGTGAGAGATCTGTCACCACATATTTTAACCCTCGCCAGGCACCTTGCATTGTGCCTGGAAAAATGAGGGCTACACAGGAACTGGGTGACCTCGCACCTGCCTTTGAAAGGTTATAGTGTTGTTAAGGCAAAAGGTTCTGCCTGAGAAACTAAAAGAATCAAAAAGCATATCTCTCAAATACCAAATTGTGTAGACTATGCAATCAAGTAAAACTCTTCAACCTATTCTGGCTTCTCTGGGGAGTTTCTAGTACTAAAGTCATTCAGAATAGTTTTAACTTCATAGTTATTTATATTCCTTCCCTGCTTTTATTCACTCACCTCCACTCCCCTAACTGGAACCCTCTCCTGCCTTTATATTTTAGACTAGACTGTGAACCATCCTGAATTCCAGTGGGAGTCATGCTTTGAAAGCCATTTTAATAAATAGCAGGAACAGTTATTCTACCTAATTCCCTAGCTTATAGAGAGTAATTTCAGCCTGCCAGTCATCCTGAGCCTTGAATTTTTTTATTTTTATCTTTTAGTAGCTAGGAGAATTTTACAATAAAATTCTGCCACTCGTAGGTAACTCTGGGTGCCTTTGGGCATGAAGAAGAAGTTATCTCTAATCCTTTGTCTCCGAGAGTGATTAAAAACATCATCTATTATAAGTGTAACACCCATGACGAGAGGGAAGCGGTCATTCAGCAAGAACTGGTCATCCATATTGGCTGGATCATCTCCAACAACCCTGAGTTATTCAGTGGCATGCTGAAAATACGAATTGGGTGAGTGAAGTCCTTTGCATTTGCATAAAGAGAATTGTTCAAGTTGTCCTCTAACAGACCTGGCCTCTCCAAGTGAAGCAATGTTCCCGGTGTCTGGTGAGTATTCAGCAAAGTGCACCCGTCCCCTAAGCCATCCAGGCAATATCTGGGGGTATGAAAAATAAATGCCACTGGCCTGAAAGAATCGTTATGTTTATTTCACTCTTGAATTAGACATAGTGAAGTAATTCTGTTGTCTGGTAAAATCAAACCCCAGAAATTTCAACAGCTGTAGCATGTAAAACACTAAGCACAGTACTTGCAAAAATTCCTATAAACAAAATGGATAAGCCTTAAGAGAATGATTTTCAGTAAAACTGTCAGGAGGACACATTCAGATACAAATGTCCTTTTAAGAATATTCTATATCCATTTTCTACCAAAATCTAATTATTGAATTTTAATATTGTTTTTGGAGAATAAATTGAAAATAAGGCTCTGATGATCTTGAATCTTCTTAATAATTTTATAAGGCTGCATGGTGTAGGAAAAACTAACCAAGCGCTGGAATTCAGCAGAACTGAGGTCAAGTTCTGACTGCCATTGTCATCTTAGTAACCTTGGATAAATGACTGAACCTCTCTAGCCTCACTTTAATACCAGTTTCTTTGTTTTATATGACAATTAAATGAGATATGTTTAAAAGCCTATGACAAGCTAAGGAAATATAAATGTGTCTTTTTAAAATAAATTTTTGATTGTACAGATATCATGTGAGTATGTCCTGATTGTAAAAGAGCCCAATGATATCTGAACTTCTAATGTATTCTGATATGTGGGCAACTTTGGAGGGTGTTTCTCAAGTGTTTGAAAAGAATATATATTCTCTGTTTGTTGGGTGCAAACATACATGTATATGTATGAGTGTGGAATAAGTATATGTAGCTTGCTAGCTGTAAAACTGGAATTTTAATATCTTTATTATCTGTGTATTTGATCATTGACTGCTGATCAAAGTCTTAATTTCTCATTATAATTGTGATTCTATCCATTTCTCTTTGCATTTTTATTTTTATCAGTTTTGCTTTATGTAGTTGTTAGAGTGCAATGGTGCAATCCCGACTCACTGCAACCACTGCCTCCCAGGCTCAAGCATTTCTCCCACCTACCTTCCCAAGTGACTGAGATTACAAACATGTGTCACCACACTCAGCTAATTTTTGTATTTTTAGTAGAGACAGAGTTTCACCATGTTGGCCAGGCTGGTCTCAAACTCCTTACCTCAAGTCCCGCCTCAGCCTCCCAAAGTTCTCAGATTACAGGTGTGAGCCACCTTACCTGGCCACTTTATGTAGTTTAAAACTTTGGTTTTGTCCATGTCTTTTCATAACTTTTACCAATATATCTTCATGTCATTGATTACTTTTCAACTTTTTTTGAACCTCAAACATTTATAAAAATACAGAGACTAGTATAATAAAGATTTGTGTGCCCATGCTATCACCCACCCTCAACAATATTATCATCTGGTCTGTCCTACCTCACCCATACCCCCATCTATTACCCACCTGCCCCCGTAGTCCCCTGTCAGTTTTGTGAGGCAAATCCATATCTTCTCTTCCGTAAATACTTAAATTTATATCTCAAAAACATAAGAACTTTTTCAAAACATGAAACATGATACTGTTACCATGCATACAAAAACAATTGAATTATATTTGTCAAATATTACTGCCATACCTTCATCTGTGATGATTAGCTTGGTATATTGCCTTCCATCCCTTTGCATTCAATGTTCTTTTATAAAATTTTGTATGTATGTATATATGTTTTTATATTCAGCACTATAATGTATTAATATAATCTGAGAACATCTTATATGAAGTATGTAACAAAATTTATCATCTTAACCATTTTTATTATATCATACAGTAGTATTAACTGTATACACAATGTTATCTTTCAATAGAATAGTTCACATTTTTCCCTTTCTTTTACATTTTGACCTATTTCTACATTTTATACTTTATATTTATCATGCTTTCTTATTACTTTTTTCCTTTTATGGTTCTTGTTGGGTTGAGGTCATTTTCGTTATACTAGTTTTACAAGTAAATGGTGAAGTACTTTTTAAAAATATGATTACCCATTTTTACTTCAAAATTCCATGTAAAAAATGCATTGCCTGTTTGGCAGTATATGCATGCATAGTAATTCATCAGTTCTCATCCAAGGAGTTTACAGTACTCACACAAGTACATAAAGACATATTTTGCAGCAGTCTTCGTTTCAGCATTATTCAAAATAGTGAAACATTAGGAACAACCTAGATGTTCATTAGTAGGAGATAGTTTGAATAAATTGGTTTTTAGCCATATAACAAAATGCTGTGCTACCATTACAGTGAACAAGATAAAGTTCTATATACTGACATTTATGAATGTCCCAGAAAATTAAATTTAAAAAAAAGTTGCAGAGTATTGTTCCACTTTTTGTAAAAGAACAATAATAATACCCTACATGTATCTATGTAATATATGTGTGCAAAAGTATCTTTTAAATAGATATCAAATTGGTGTCAGTTACCTTCTCTAGATTTCTACCTTCTCAGTTACATTTTTCAGTATTATTTTTAAAATTTACTTTAGCTTGTTATTTTTAAGTGATTTGCCTGATTTCAACTACAGTATATTTTAGTCAAATTTCCCTATCTTTGTCTCTTCTTTCTTTTGATTGAAAATGAATTACTTGCTTAGAATCTGACCTTCATTCTTCTCCCTTAAAATAGTTTCTTTCGAAGATTTGGAGCTATTCTGAATCAGTTATAAGAACTTTGAGTTATATCCTGATTTGTTCAGTCTGTTTGCCCTGATATTTTCAACTCCAACCTCTTGACTCCATATGAGGGTAGAGAAATGATTCTTTCATGTGAGTTAACTCTAAATGAAAAGAAATGTGATTCTCCATCTCCGTACATGGTACAAAAGTACTCTATTGTCACAGACTCAGGCATTTATCTGAGACAGACTGAGAAGTATAGGTTGTAAGTCTTTCAAAGCACATTCTTTATAATAAGTGTTCTAGTTGGGAGAGCCTTTTCAAGTGATAGCCATCCTTGCAGAGGTTTAAATAAAGCCTTAGAGTGAAGGTAAACAGTTTCCCAAGATTTTACACTGCTGTGTTTTTCAGTCTATAGTAGCTTTTCCTTTACTGCTTATTCAGCATTTTAAGCTAATTTAGGTCCTCTGCAAGTCTCATGTAATTCCCTTTCTTGAATTCATCCCTAACCTGACGCTTCTAGTCATGGGAATGGGTATTTAGTTTATTCTAAAAATTGCATTTTCTGTTTTTATATCTGCTACTTTGTATGTTCAATGCCTTCCATGAGAAATAACATACCATTTTTCCTTACACTGTGTCACCCAAAGTAAAAATGTCAGGTGGCAGCATGTGATTTAGTATTTACTCATGAAGAAATTTGTTATGAAACCTTAATTATTCACCATCCTGAAACTCATTCTGGAATTGTGGCATTATATTCTCATTGTGAGTATTAATACTGTCCCTCCCTGACTTATAATGTACATTTCACTCTTATGTAGGTCTCACAAGATCAGTTCTAATCACTGGGACAATTGCAGTTGGGAAGCAATCTGGTATTTTTTTTTTTTAAATTAAGGAGTGATTTATTTAAGAAATTTCCTTCTGCTAAGGATAGGAACTAGATCTTGTATTACTTCCCATCTGTCTTACAGTCTCGTTCATCATAGATGCTCAATAAATATTGGATTGTTTAACATATGGCATATAAGCAGAGTCAGGTGGTTTGCTTTGAGCTAGTGATGTGGAATTTAGGAAAACAAAAAGAAAGTGTGTCTGTACTCTTTGAGAAGTAAATGACTCTTAATTTTGATAAACATACTTGGTTTATGCCATATGATATTCAAATTAAGTATAAAAGAAGCTTTAAGTCATGTCCCTCAGGAAATGACCAAGTTAAACAGAGCCTTGTTTGTATGAAAGTCCAGTCATATATACCGAAGATATCAAGATGTAGCACTTTTCTCCAAGGAGTTATAAATGGAAAGGTATTGTTAATCATATCAGAGTATATGACAGGTTGCCTTACAATTGTACATCTCTTAACAATCTAAGAGGAGACAAGTGTAAATAACATGTGATCGCTGCACTCAAAAGATCACTCTTGTAAACCATCCTCCTCCTCTTGCTCCATCAATATGACCACAAATACTGTTTATTGAATATCTGTTATATGCTAAGCAATGTGTTAAAATTCTTCGCATATATTATCTGATTTAATCCCTATAACAACTTTGAAGTAAGCACTAGAACCAGCATTTTACAGCAAAGAAACAGATTTGAAAGTGTGCATGGGCCGTTTTACCAGTTAATGGAAGAACTGGGATTTACACCCAGGTCTGCCGGACTCGTGTTAAGTACTTAAGTACTCTTCAGTCTTAAGTACTTTCTGCATGTTTTTGCTTCTGTGTACCGTTGCCGTTATCTCACAGAAACAGGCTTTTGTGTTTATTTCTAAAACTTTATGGCCTTTAAGATCTCTTATACATGATTTCAGTTACAGATCCACATTGTATTCAAGTTCATGTAGTAACTATGATGTGTCAGACTCCAGATTTTTTTTTTTTTGGTCCTTTTTCTACCAGGCCTCCAATCTAGGATCAGTACCATTTAGCATTTTGCAGTGTAAGAAACTTGAACAGGTACAAGTTAACAGGCCAAATAAATGAGATTTTGCACCTTTATTCATCACAATACTGAGAAAATGGGATGATTCTAAGTTGGCCGCTTGTATACTCTGGTAGCTATATTGCATCAGTGCAAAAGTAATCATGGTTTTTGCCATTGAAAGTAGTGGCCAAAACCACAATTGGTTTTGCACTAACCTAATATTAAGATACTATGAAAAGTTCAGAGAAGTCTAGAGCAGACTTTTCACTTCCTTATAATATTGTAGGATACCTCTGGCAAATACAGAGTCT